CTGTGCATCATAAATTTGGACAATGGTCACCTAGAAATCAGCATGGGATGAAAAAACCACAGGAAGAGGAAGACAGCATGGAGGTCATCCTGCCTCTTGAAACAAAGTCATTGAACTCTGGAAGATATAAGCAAAACCAGAAGTCATCCATCACTGCACAAGGGGCCAGAGTTCTTGCAACTGAGAAAGATGTGCCCTTCAACCAAAGGGTCTCTGGAAACCTAATATAGGTGAAAACCTCACTTAAATCAAAACTCTTTCACCTAGAAAGATAAGGGAAGGCAGCATCGGCCGGCCGCGGGGCCGACCCTTCCCGCCCGGGGTGTCATTTCCCCTGAGCTGGCGCTTGCCATTTAGCGCTCTGGGCGGCGGGTCATAAATTATGGATCAGAATTTAATTTTTGTAAAACGCGCCTGGGGATCCGGGTGTTTCATTTCTAAATGTGTTCCTTTTACTTGCTATCACTTAACCTATGACATTTTTTCATTATAAAACCAACTCATTACAGTATTTAAGTGGAAAGGTGTATTAACCCCCAGTTAAATTAAAAACTCTTTGGTGCTTTTGCTGTCTTTAGAGGAACAAAATATATCTTATTTTCTCTCTTAACTGTCCAGACAAGGCTGAAACTTTGCGCGCGCGCACACACACACACACATTCACACACACAAACAGACTCTCACTCGTGCGCGCACACTCACTCACGCACACACTCACTCGCGCACAGTCGCTCTCACACTCATTCACACACACTCACGCTCACACAGACTCCATCTCACACACTCATTCACACGCAGACTCTCACACTCACGGTTTTCATCGGCCAGTCCCCAGGAAGCTGCAAGTCGGCTCCAGGCAGCCCCGTGTGCGCCCGCCCCCAAGTTGTGCCGGTGGTGGGTGGGAGCTGCTGGTCACGGCGGCCGTTGTCGTTGCAGAACAACTCCTGGAGCGAGCTGTACTCCTTCGCCCTTTTCATCCTGGGGTGCTGTGGCTGGGGCGCTGGGATCGGCGCGGAGCAGGTGCCCGATCCCGCCAGCTCCCGAGCTCAGGGGACCCGCCCTGAAGGTCCATGCTGGGCCCGAGTGGCACGATCGACCCGTGGAAAGGTCCCATCAACATCCCACTCGCTTGCGCGATCGCCTGGCGCTTTCTGAGAGAGCAGGGCTGTTTGCCCGTCTGCTGTGGCAGAATTCCTGCTTGGAGGGTTACCTCCTGCCCCCGACAGCCCCTTCTGCAGGGTCGGCTCGCTATGGTCCGCCCTGAAGGTCCATGCTGGGCCCGAGTGGCACGATCGACCCGTGGAAAGGTCCCATCAACATCCCACTCGCTTGCGCGATCGCCTGGCGCTTTCTGAGAGAGCAGGGCTGTTTGCCCGTCTGCTGTGGCAGAATTCCTGCTTGGAGGGTTACCTCCTGCCCCCGACAGCCCCTTCTGCAGGGTCGGCTCGCTATGGTTTTTTCTCTCATTTCCTGGTCTAACCCCTGTTTGTTGCAGCTGTGAAACAGCTGCCCCGTTCCACCCCAGAGGTGGCTGCATTGCAGGGGTGGGCGCACAGCTGTAATGAGTTCACTGTTTCGGGGCCCGGGATATGAAGTATTTTACTGCCGTGACGGCAGTCTGTGCAAGGAAGCAAACGGGGACTGGGGCCTTTCTGCGCCGTGGAACAGGTGTTGACACGTGTCCATGGGCTCTGGGGGGAGACTGGTGGATTTGGAGGATATGCTGAGCCAGAGTTTTCGAGGCACTCGGACGACAGGCTGTCTGTGGCAGAACCGAGCACCTTGGGCAGCGGGACTTTCAAGTCACCTCCACTTATATATAGCTGGGAGTCCGGGACCAGGGCCGAGATCGACTCTCCAGTCGGATCGATAGCTCCGGCCCGCAGAGCTGCATGTGGAGATACACGAGCCGGGTGGGAACAGCCCCGTTGCCTAGAGGGACTCAACTTGTAACTGGCACAGACTCCCCGTGTCTAGGAAGCCAGAGGAGTCAAAGCCCCCCGATGTCCGTGGGCTGCCTCGGGGTATTTCAGAGACGGACGGACGGACGCAGGCAGCCGGGAGTTTTAGGGAGGGATTAACAGAGCCCAGGGTCTGGGAAATGCCAGTGGACGGCCCCTGACTCAGGCAGGCGAATTCTGGCCACACGGCGTTCTTGTCTTTGGAAACTCGATGATGATATGACAGAGGCCTATGAAATCATGACCGGCGTGGAAAAGTAAATAAGGAAAAGTTATTTACTTGTTCCCATAATATAAGAACTAGGGGTCACCACATGAAATTAATAGGCAGTGGGTTTAAAACAAATAAAAAGCAGTTTTTCTTTGTGCATTGTCAACCTGCGGAACTCCTTGCCAGAGGATGTTGTGGAAGCCAGGACTCTTAACAGGGTTTAAAAAAAGAGCTAGCTAGATTCATGGAGGTTTGGCCCATCAATGGCGATTAGCCAGGCTGGGCAGGGATGGGTCTCTGGCCTCTGTTTGCCATAGGCTGGGAATGGGCGATGGGGAGGGGGCAGCTAGCGTGGGGCAGGATGGGGGGAGCGCCCTTGCAGCGGTGCCCTGGCTGTGCCAGCTGGGACCCTGGAGCGTCCCCCTCCCCCCGAACTGACCCTCGGCTGAAGGGCGTTCCCGGCTCGCTCCCCCTTCCCTCCCCATCCACGGCAGGGCCAGGGACCGAGCTCCCTGCTGGGGTCTCGGGTGGGGCAAGACGGGGCGGTGGCCAAGGGGGGAGGGGCGCCAGGCCTGTGTGTAGCTGGGCTGCCTGCTGCTTCTCTTCCCGGCAAGG